AATTGATCAGGAGGCTTTAGGGTGAAAGTGTACGTAATATGGGTGGTTGCCTACACTGTGTCATGAAAGTGCTCACACAGCTTCTAGATTTCCAAATTTCTGAACTATTTCTGCAAAAACGTCAAGAAAATCCCACCAGACAACAGACTGATGGGTGTCTGTGCAGCTCATAAACGTAGCATTATCTTATTTGCGTGTGTTAAAAAGTCCACTCAGCGACTTTTCGTTGAACATGACAAAAATGACACTTTTGACAATTAACAAGGGCTGTCAATCCTGCTTATGAAGCTACTAAATGATGTCAGAAAGCCACGCGTTCAGGAGAGCAATTCGATCACGCCTGGCATGCTTTTGGCATATTGGCTTTTGTTAAGCTCCACCGCAGCTGGGAAACTCGCAACAAGCTGACATGCTGTAATGAGGTCTACGTGTGACACTAAGCATATACAAAATGTTAACGCAAATACTGTATATCGCATATTAGTTATGTAGGTCCCTGGCTTCTATCCAAGCATGCAGAACTGGTGTGGTCTCGCTGTCTGTCTGTGCTGCTCCTCAGCGGCATGTGTTTAACCCCAGAACGTGGCCTTCCTGCCCTCTCTATCTGCCTGACTGATTTGTTAGGCTCCAGGGACGAGGCGAAGGACGAGAGTTTGTGTGGAAGTGTGTGCGCTGCTTCTTAAAAACATGCAATCTGCAGAAAAAAAATCTTCCTTCACCTCCAGCCTTTTCCACGCGCGCACACACACACACACACACACACACACACACACACAAATCATGTCTTTGATGTGAGATCAGAGGCAGCCCGGATGCAGGTCGATCAGGTGTACGGAGAGAAATGCAAAAGAGAGAAGAAGAAGAAGAAGAAACAGGGCTGTTGTTTTAACAACCCCTGGGCCCTGCACTCATTATAACCCCTCTGGCTTCTTGTTTTTTCCGTCTGCCTGTTTCTCCCAGCACACTCGAGCCCTAGCGGTCTCTGTGCACACAGAAGCCGTGCTGCTCATCTGGACTGATCACAGTGGGAGATGGGGGGCAGATGCAGAATGTGTTATGATATAGAACATTCGGCAGAACGTCTAACAGCTGCCGACGGTGACTCGCCTCTAAAATAAAGCCTCCTTTTTCTCTAACAACACCTGTCTCATGCATTTCACTTATTAGATGTATAATATTTCTCTCTGCTGTAAAAGGTGTGACTTGTTTGAACTTTTACTACAAGAAGAAAACTCTTCAAATTGCCTGTTTGCAGCTCTTCTAGCAGGAGGGGTGTAAAGAGAAAAAGCTGAGAAGACTTTCCTCTCCTGCCAGGATGAAAGCTTCTTTTACTTGGGAGAACATTAGAAGAACAAACTAGCATCACAACAGGAGGGGGAACAGGCAGCCCCGGCATGCTCCCACATAAAAAACAGCCTCCATTAATATTGTAATGCTTCCTCCCCGAGCGCTCGAAATCAAAGGGGAGACAACCGGTGTGGTCGCAGAAAGACCCGTCTGCACATGGGGCTTATTTTTTGGGATGATGGTGCTGTAAATGCTGCAGATACAGTCCAATGAAAATTTATCACATCACAAGCTTCGCGTTTTATTCGATTTCCTTTTGTTTGCCAACATTTTCAAACATGGTGTGTTCACTGAGATCATTTTGCACTGATAAAAAATGCAAAACAAAAGAAAAAAAAAACTTTGCATTTGCATGAGCTAAACGTGGCGTTCAATGCACGAGGAGCAAATCCACCTGATAAGTAGCATGCATGCTGACAATAATAACAGGCAGCATAAAAATGTGTATGCATGAGCATCGAGTGGCTGCTTATTGATCTCTTGCGGTCTGCGAGGGGGATGTAAACAGTGTGTCTTTCAGCGGGAAGCTCCGGTCAATACCAGCAGTCAACAGCAGCTGTAGACAAAACGCAGACCCTCCCTGTTCACAAATCATACAGAACAGAACACGAGGAGTCCTCACTAGAGTGTGGGCGCTTTCTCCTCTAAAGTTTATGAGAGCAGCCGTGTCTGGCATGAGGTCAAACCGTCAAACTTCACCAGGGAGATAATCCGTGTTGCAAATCTCAGATGAATCTATATAATATTGATTTCCAGTCCATGCGGCACTAGTGCGCTAACAACCCATGAATAACTGACCATGGAGGATACTTGTACACCGAACGGATCCGGTGACGAATTCAGCGCGTGTCATGCATAATTCTTTCCCCACTCCGGGATTTCTTTGTGCTCAGGTGAAAACTTAAGTAGCTTCCCATCGGTAAAGACTCCGTAGAATGTGTCTGATTCAAAGCTCTTTGTTTATGTTTCAGCTTTCGTTAAACTTCATAAACATTTAGATCCTGCATCACATTAAAGTGCTCAAACATCTGGCTCCAGTTATTGCCACTCAGTTAGCTTTGCCTCCACGTGTGAATTGCCAACACACTCGCGCGCGCGCGCGGATAGACATACACACCGCTTGTGGTCATGGCACGTTGTTACCACTCAACTCCTCCAGTTTTCCCCGACTCGTGTTTCTGTTAAAGAACCATTTTCATTCCTGCTCAGGCCTGTGGCGGAAAGCATCTCCCTGAGGAAAATAAGCATGACTCGCTCCAGTGAAGACATCTGCCCTTTGAAACTGAGCGTGGCTGTTTGAACAGCTGTCAGAGCGCACCGAGCATCTCAGACCTTCGCTGATAAAACGGAGGAGAGTCTGGGAGGGAACGTCGACAGAGGGAAGACACAGAATGGACAGAGGGAGACAGCCACCAGTGATCTCACACACACACACACACACACACACACACACACACACACACACACACACACACACACACGCGGAAAGCAGGAATGGGTGTCATGTACTTGTTGTCTGAACTGACAAGAAAGTGTCATGGTCACTTGTGTGTATTTCTGGAGACTGGAGCAAAACATGGAGGACTCTACAGATTGAAAAAAAAACTAAAGAGTCGTCAAGCTGTAAGATGTGTGATCTCTGAAAAAGCTGTATTTGTTCGAAGGAGGGTTGAGCGTAAAGTGCATGAAGTTATTTATGCAGCATTTCATCCATTCTGTGACAACAAACAAACTCCAAACATGAAGGAAACTTTTAAGGAATTGTTTTGCAGCTGGATTCAGCCATTGCTGTTGCCGTAGAAACTCTCACACTCAAAGAAGATTTCAAGCTTAACACTTATAAGACTTTTGGTCCTGAAGTGACTGTCTGCTACTCAGTCAAGAGGAACAAGTGTATGTCAGACTTAGAAAAGTGCTGGGAGCTCAATTGCATTAAAGCTCTTAGTTTGCCTGAGCTCCAATCTAATTGGATAAAGCTGGAAAAGCAGCTTCCAATGTGCTTGAACCCCCACCCCCCCCCCACCCCCACCCCTCTTTTTTTATTTTCCGGAAGACGAGGAGGAGTGATGTTCTCTGTGTTCTCTTCCAGCCTGTCTTTTGTCCTTGTCAACATTCCCCAAATGAGATTCCCCCAAAATCAGGTGGTGAGCATGCACGCACGAGTGCACCAAGCAAACACTGTTTTCAGACACACCTCTCACGCCTGGCATCTCTTCTTTTTCCCGTCCTCATTAAAATTCCATATTGAGATTCCTTGCTGCCACTCCGCCTCCCTGGCCCTGTCACTCAGCCACCAACCGGCGACAAATTCAGCAAGTTTCAACAAAGACATGCACATATGCAAAGCGACACACACACGCCGCACAATCCAAACTTTTCTTAAGACATCTCATCCCTGCTCCCACCCTTTATGTGTGGGATGAAAGTTTTCTTTAGGTGGTGTGTATGAGCATCAGTGTCCCCCCTTCCCTTCCACCTCCCTCCCCTTCTCAATGTCATTATTTTCGATGGTGTCCCCTTCTGATCTGCTGAGCCTTTGGGTGCTCTCTCTCTCTCTCTCTCTCTCTCTCTCTCTCTCTCTCTCTCTCTCTCTCTCTCTCTCTCTCTCTCTCTCTCTCTCTCTCTCTCTCTCTCTCTCTCTCTCTCTCTCTCTCTCTCTCTCTCTCTCTCTCTCTCTCTCTCTCTCTCTCTCTCTCTCTCTCTCTCTCTCTCTCTCTCTCTCTCTCTCTCTCTCTCTCTCTCTCTCTCTCTCTCTCTCTCTCTCTCTCTCTCTCTCTCTCTCTCTCTCTCTCTCTCTCTCTCTCTCTCTCCTCTCCTCTCCTCTCCTCTCCTCTCCTCTCCTCTCCCTCTGTTCTCCCTCTGTCTCCCTTTCATCTGTCAGGTCGCTCCCCTTGGCGACCGCCGCTGAGGAGGTTTGATTTCCCATCATGCCTAGCATTGCCTCCCTGACTCACTCCCTCCCCGTCTCCCTCTGAGGCGAGTGCTGGGGCCCCCGCGTCGTTGGGCAATTATCCCCGGGAGTAATGAGGAGCGTCTCTCCCTGTGCGCCGTGGCTGACTGACACCTCTCCCACTCATTTGTCAACAAATCAGACGGCTAGTGTGGGCGGCCATATTGAGCTGAGGGTTGTCGCCGGGAAGCTCAGGCTGAAGCGCACCGCCGCGTCTCTTTCTCTCCTTTTCTGTATCCTCCTCCATCCCTTTCCTCTCTATCTCTGCCACCTCGTTATCTCTGACAGGGTGTCATTCGTTCCTACTCTCACTCCTCCCGTGTCAACCCTTCTTCGATATATTTGTGTTCCTCAGCCACCGAGAAAAAGTCTGACTTCCAATGGGCCTAATGGTCATATGTGGCTAATGATCACTAAACTGAACGAGTGCCACTATTGGATTTATTTGTGTCAAAGTCAGCCCCAGCCAGCCGCTGTAAACACTTTGCCTAACTAGACAGCCGAGTGAAAAGGAGGAGAACATCTTTGGGGGTGAAGCTGTAGCGGATGTGCTAACATCATGGCCATGTCAGGTCAGACTGAGCATGATGTCTAAGATTATACCCCGCCACCATTCTCTGGATTAAAGATGTGAGGTGAGTGCCGCCATCTGAGGTTTACCACGGTTTCCTACGTCTTCTGTGTGAGCTGAGTGTTTACTCACTGTGCTCTTTGCGCTCCTCTGGACTCGACGAAGCCTCTCCATCAGACAGCAGGCCGGACATGGAGAACAACTTTCTCCCCGTCTCCTCCCCGGCTTTCAAGGAGCCAAAGTCAAACTCCTTCCCCTCTAGATCCAGAAAGCAGCTCTTCAGCCTCTTCGCGGGGGTGAAAGCTGACTGGTAACCCCCGGATTCCCTCTCTTCTTGCGGGGAAGCAAAAGGCCTGAAGGCGCCCACACCGCTGTGGTTAAGCATGCCCAGGGTTGGGCAGTCCAGGTTTGGTGGAGTGAACTGAGGGTGGAGGTGGAGCAGGGAGGCTGGGAAGTCTCGGGATGGAAAAGTGCCCGACATGGGGGCCTGGCGCTGATACATGGAGGTGAAGGTGTAGGAGGCCGAGGGGAAGGGGAGGTGGAGGTCCTTTTCCATCGAGGCAGGGACCCCAAAGGGTCTGGGAGCCTGGCAGGGGACGGAGGCATCTCGGCCTGCCTCGGCGGTGGAGGCTAGGACCATCAGGGCCGGGGATGCCAGTGGAGCTGGCAGGTAGGACGGGCTGTCCATCTTAAAGGGGCGGTGGAGGTCCATTCACCTCCGAGCTAGTGCTTCCGGGAATTAACAGAAAACACACACACGCAGAGGAAAGCATTAAATCACAGAAAGTTTTTAAATGTTCTCTCAGTTCAAATTGCTCTGTAAATTAATCTGATTTATGTTTATTATTTCAGCTAAAAAAAAGACACATATTTCTGTTTGTTGGAATTTTACATGAAATAACTGTAGACAACACATCTCCCCTCCTGTAGACTCGCCAAAAGTCTGGAGGCATTTTTACACTCAGAGCTTCAGTAAACGAGGCTTGTAAATATTTACAGCGGAATAAATACTGAGTAAAACGCACAAATAGAAAGTGCCTGCAACTGTTAAAAACGGACTAATCTCTTTAAATCAATAATAACATTGATCTGTATCTGAATTTTAAATTAATTTGTTTCTTCTATTAAAAGAAGAGAAGCGTTTCTCAGAAAAAATGTTCTATTTTTAAAATAATGATAAAAATAGCAAAGATGAGAAAGAACCAGCAGTCTTGGGTCGTTAAAGTAAAAATAAACATTTGAAAGAGTTTTTAGAGGGGGAAACGGGCAACTCTAGTTATTCACGCTTAAATGAGTCATTTCGTGTTTGACTAAAACTTTTCTTCCTGTAATTCCTTCATGTCGGAGCGAAAGTTGGACAATAACACAGAAAAGCGTTTTAAAAGTGTCAGCTGAGCAGGAACTATTTATTACTTCATCGCTTGGACCTTCTCGCTTTTTCTACAATAAATTATTTTGTAAAACAAAGTTGGTTTTCAGCAGCGCACGAGTTCCCCCAGAAACCGCTCCGAGCAGAGAGCGCGCGCATGGCAGCTCAAACAAGCAATTAGAGCAATTAGAGCAAATGAAGCTGCAATCAGTGAGTGATCCCGAGCCGTCAGTCGCAACTTACCGCGAAGAAGTTCTCAAAGCGAGTTATTCCGCTGCCAACTCGCTCCCTCCGCTTCTCATTCAACTTGGAGTTGAGGTCAGGTACAGCGGCACTTTCTCCGGGTGCGCAATAGAAAAAAAGGGGGGAAAAAAGAAAAAGCTGCGCAGGATTTTCCTCCTCCAGATGTTGCTTCCGTGGTGAGTTGTTCAGATCAGAGTGTGTGTGAGAGAGAGAGCAGGGGGATGAAGGAAGCAGTGAGTGGACTGGCTGCGGGTCGCTCTGTCTCTGTTGGTCTTTGCGCTCCGTGTGACGTCACCCCCTCTCTTCCTTACCCTGCGCTCTCTGTAGCCTCTGCCCCCCATGCAAATTAACATTTTACAAGAGGAAACTAGGTAAACATGTCATGTTAAAAGGAGCATTTTGTTTAGATCAATGCTTTTAAGTTAAATCAAACTATAAACTTGCAGAACTTTATCTACAAAAACAAAACTTTGTCCAGTCATCCCTCTTATCTGCCTGTTTTCCTGCTCAGCACTTCCCAATCCCTGACTGACACATGGGAATATTCTCTTTTGATGAGACACAATGCAAACCGATGGCAGTATTTGTCACAGATAATCTCCTTTCAAGTCCCAACACGTTACAGAGTGTAATATCTGCATTATTCATATCTGATTTCCAGCACACTGTCAGAAAGCACAGCTCAGAGCACCACAAATCAGCCCAAATCACTCTTAATTTGTTTTTATCGGTATTGGTATTGCTTAAAGACTTTTTGAAATAATGTAATTGAAATAATTCCTTATTCCCCGGAGCCAATCCAGAGGCTTTACACCGCTAATCTAATGTGACACGCAATTTCCGTCTCTCAGACGATTGCTTCCCCTCAGGTCCCTGTCTTTAATGAACAGCCATTTGGCTGTGAGCCTGTGTGTGTGTGTGTGTTTCTCTGTGAGTGGGTGTGTGTGTGTGTGTGTGTGTGTGTGTGCAATCAGAGAGCACGACTCAGGCCTGAAATGGGAAATGAGTGAATTGGGAATATCACAGCCAAGAAGAAGGCACAGCACAGGGCGTCTTAGCAGGAGATCGCTGCATGGTCTCGTCGTGCAAACAGCCTGAAAACCCAGCAGCTAATTGAGAAATAAAAATAAATACTGACTCGTCTACAATTTCTAAAACTAAAGAGACGTCTGTGTTACCAGAAGAGTTCATCTGTCCTTTACTTTCCTAAAGTGTGATGGAGCTGCCTCCTCTCACGCCTGAAGACAGCCGGTGGGTGAGGAAGAGTGGGGCCAGACGGCAGATGCAGACCTTTAAACGGACACATAAACGAGAGCCCAGACTGAGTGTAACAGTGCTGCCCTCAGACCAACGTGGGAACGTGTAACACATGTCTTTCCTGTGACATGGAAAGGTCATTACTCCACTTAGAGCACCCTCTCAGTCACACATTGTTTTGAGGTTAGACAACCACACGCCATCAGACCCCGACAGGTTCCCAAACAAGAACTGCTCTAGGGAAGAAAAAAAATACAAATCCTTCACAATCAATACAATAAAAAAATTCTCCTCAGGTTAGAGACGCTTCTTTAAAAAGAAACTCTTCTCTTCCACTACAAAAAAGTGCCAGAAACATCTTATCTGTTCGCTGAACACTGCACAAGTGGCTCCATTGACATCATGATGATTATTCCTTCCCCGTTCCTCCAATTTGCCCATGTGCTAGTGGCTGTGGGTGGTGTGTAGAGGATGATGGGTGTGTGTCCTACAGGCCCAGTGAAGTGTTAATGATGTCCCCGCTGCCTCAGCCAGGTTATGGCACAGGGGCCGTTAGCCGCCCTGGGTAAACTGCGTGGCTCCCAGAATAAATTGCCACCCGAAGCCACGCAGGCTGGTCAGCCAGCCAATTACAGGCCTGCCCGCTCAGCTGAGGATGATGGGATGCGATGTTAATTGTACGCTTTCATTTTCTGGCAGGAGGTGAGTCACTTGGCTGTCTTTCTTGACTGCCACAAAGTGAAACGTCTTCATACGTGCAGTTTGGGCTCAAATCCAATCTCCATCTTGTTGCAGCACTGCAGCTCAAATAGAAGGAAAGTCATTTAAAAGCAGTTTTGATGTAAATTTTAGATCTCTCATCAGTTGCTGTGATCTGCTGCGGCATACCCAATAGCTAAAAGACGAGTTTAGAGACTAATTAAATAAACACAATGAGAGTTCCTCACTTCTTTTATTAGCATGCCAGAGGTCATCATTGGAGTCTTTTAACTTTCTGTGTGTGTAATTGGAGTACTGAGCAGTAAATAATCATGCCTTTGTTTTTTTAAACCCCTCCTTTCATTTTCAGTAAATTTTTCCAGGGTATGGAGCAAATTAAGTCTCTCCTCTAATCATTTCCACACACAGAGATCATTTCTCTTTGCCATGAGACGGTCTAATTGCAACACAACGCCTGCAAAGGAAGAGGATTCAAACCAAACAGGTAAATTCTTTTTTAAGTAATTTCACTTGCAGGTGAAACTAAAGAGACCAGCAGAGTTCCTAACACACGCTCCTCATTGGGTCTGATCAGCGTTGAAGATGAAGAGTGCTCAGTTCTCTGGAGTCAGTTGGGTAGTAGCAGCGCAGTGCTCCACTCTTCCTCAGTATATCAACACAGAGTCTGTCTGGTAGCAGTGCTATGGAGAGAGAGGTTAGCTACTATATTAACATAGGGAGAGACAGCGCCAGAGCGGAGCATGTCTGCCAGCCGCTGAGCAGTGGGGAGTGAGACACAGAGAGGCCATCGACCAGACAGCTACAAGATGGAGTGGAAGGGAACGTGTGAGAGATGAGTTGTCCGACATGTGACAATGTGAGTGTATGTGTGTAAAAGTGGGAGTGTGTACCCGTGTGTGTTTGTGTGTGACAGCTCCCCAAAGCGGCCAATGAGAGTGAATGTGAGCATGAATACAGAGAGGTGCATTATGGTCTGAATTATTGATCGCTTCCTCCCAAGAGGGCTTCTGACTGACCCCCTACACGTAAGCACACACGAACACACACACACGAACACACACACACGAACACACACACAAGAACACACACACACGCACACATACGCACACACACACACACACACACACGCACATAAGCAAACACACACGCACGCACACGCACGCACACACACACACACACACACACACACACACACACGTGTGCACATTTTCACACTCATTTACATTGAGGAAACACTGTTTAGATCAGGGTTGGGGAAACCTGGTCCTTGAGGGCCACTATCCATTATGTTTTAGTTGTTTCCGTTTTCCAACACACCTGATTTTAATCAGTAGGTGATTAACACACTCACGTAGAGTGTGATGAGCTGCTGAACAGGTGTGTTGGAGCAGGGAAACTACTAAAACATGTTGGATAGTAGCACTCAAGGACCAGTATTGCCAACTCCTTTTGCACTTCTTAACTGACAAGAGGTAAAAATACAAGCAGGAAGCAACAGATGCACTATAAAGATAAGACTTCTCTCATTACCATGTCTACATTTATACTTTTACATTTTTTGCACCTTAAACTGGCTGTGTGTGTGTGTCTGTGTGTGTGTCTGTGTGTGTGTGTGTGTGTGTGTGTATGTGTGTATGTGTGTGTGTGTGTGTGTGTGTGTGTGTGTGTGTGTGTGTGTGTGTGTGTGTGTGTGTGTGTGTGTGTGTGTGTGTGTGTGTGTGTGTGTGCGTGCGTGTGTGTGTGTGTGTGTGTGTGTGTGTGTGTGTGTGTTTGTGTGTGTGTGTGAGAGAGAGAGAAAGAGAGAGAGAGAGAGCGTGGGCATGACTTATCTGTTAGTCTTGTTATTTTACTTTATATATATTTTACTACCTGCTTACGTCAGCTGTCTTTAATGAGCGCAAAGTTGATTTCGTTGTACACCTGTGCAATGACAATAAAAATTACCTTGAATCTCGAAAGAGAGTAGCAGAGGACAGAAGAACAGTGGCGCTGGGAGGTTGTCATGGGGCCACATGCAAAGACCTGCTGACAGTACCGACCAGAAAGTGTGCTGCTGTTTCTCCATCTGAGGTGGGGATGGGGGTGGGGTCTGGGACGACTAGATTCTCCATCTGAGCAAAAGGACTGCCAGCACAGCCCTAATGACAGCTTTTGACTGTCTCCCTATGTTTGAGGCCCAGGCAGTAGCTTACCCTGCCTTATAGCATCTCTGCAAAGGCAAATCCACACTTTAGCTCTTGTAATCAAAAAAATTTTGATTTTGATCAAAATGGCTTTTTTTCTGAATTTTGTAAATAAACCTTTTCTATAAAATGTTTCTCTCAAACTGTATTCTCTTTAAAATTCACCATCTTTGCATTCATGCATCCCCCAATCTCATGGACGTAATTTTAGAAAGTACAGGGAATGCAGAATTATTAGGCAAATTAGTATTTTTTCCACATCATCCTCTTCATGCATGTTGTCTTAGGCCCTGTCCACACGTAGCCGGGGATCTGCCAAAACGTAGATATTTTTCTACGTTTTGGCCTGTCATCCACACGAAAACGGAGTTTTTTCACACGAAAACGGATCTTTTAAAAACTCCGGCCAAAGTGAAGATCTGTGTTTTCTCCGTTTTGGGTGTCTGCATGTGGACGGACAAAACCGGAGTTTTAAGGTCCGCAACGTCACTTTCCGCAACAAAAAATGCTGACATCACATGTGCGACCTGTGTTTACACTAGCCGACAGCATGGATGCCCTCAGAGCTGCGCTCGCTTTATCAATTGTCCAAGCGCTCTTTGCTTGTTTGTTTTTGCAAGCGGAATTACTGCTCCTTGCGGAAGACCACAGACGAAGGACGAGGTTAAGAACGGGGGAAGTACTGCCGCCTACAGGTCTGGCATGTCCATAACAACGTATTTATCCGGGTACGTGTGGACAGAATTTTTTTTTAAAACAAGTTGGTGTGGATGCAAGTTTTTGGACGGGCGGATATTCGTTTAAAAAAAAACCCGGCTACGTGTAGACTAGGCCTCACTCCAAGCTGCATAGGCTCAAAAGCCTACTACCAATTAAGCATATTAGGTGATGTGCATCTCTGTGATGAGAAGGGGTGTGGTCTAATGACATCAACACCCTATATCAGGTGTGCATAATTATTAGGCAACTTCCTTTCCTTTGGCAAAATGGGTCAAAAGAAGGACTTGACAGGCTCAGAAAAGTCAAAAATAGTGAGATATCTTGCAGAGGGATGCAGCAGTCTTAAAATTGCAAAGCTTCTGAAGCGTGATCATCGAACAATCAAGCGTTTCATTCAAAATAGTCAACAGGGTCGCAAGAAGCGTGTGGACAAACCAAGGCGCAAAATAACTGCCCATGAACTGAGAAAAGTTAAGCGTGCAGCTGCCAAGATGCCACTTGCCACCAGTTTGGCCATATTTCAGAGCTGCAACATCACTGGAGTGCCCAAAAGCACAAGGTGTGCAATACTCAGAGACATGGCCAAGGTAAGAAAGGCTGAAAGACGACCACCACTGAACAAGACACACAAGCTGAAACGTCAAGACTGGGCCAAGAAATGTCTCAAGACTGATTTTTCTAAGGTTTCATGGACTGATGAAATGAGAGTAAGTCTTGATGGGCCAGATGGATGGGCCCGTGGCTGGATTGGTAAAGGGCAGAGAGCTCCAGTCCGACTCAGAGGCCAGCAAGGTGGAGGTGGAGTACT